CCCGCCCAGACAGATTGGATACTACTCAGTGGAGATTCTACCTTCCTCCGTGCCCTCTGGTTCTAGGCTCCCTCTTTGAAAGCTTGTAAGCCAGTCACTTCTTGCCTTTTTAGCCTCTCCACCCCCCATTTTGGGTATGAAATCAGCTTTTTATTGGAGTGATTTCATGAGAAATGTCAACTAACTATACAACTATTTCAACACAGGAAACCTATGGATGTGTATAAGAAGCCATCGGGAAAATGTTTCTTCCAGGGAGACCATGGATTTGATAACAAGCTCAACAGCATGCAGGTATAACCACAGAACTGGGAACTGAAAGTGTATTTTAATAATCTTTGGAAGGGATGGGGAATGGTGAGGTGAGCAAAGTTGCTGGGTATTTATGAAGAGAGGAAGAATAGCTACCAGATATTTGCAATGTCTAATTGGTTTATGCTTTCTTTTTTTTTTTTGGAAGACTGTCTTTGTAGGTTACGGACCAACATTTAAGTATAAGACTAAAGTGCCTCCGTTTGAAAACATAGAACTTTACAATGTTATGTGTGGTAAGTCACTTATTTAATCATACCTAACAAGTAAGCTTTAGTTAGATATGGATTCTCTCAATGTCTGAGAAAGAAATGAGGTACAAGTTGTAACTTGCCCATTGGTTGGAAGGACAGAACATCTTCTCCTTCTAAGACTTCTTTGTCTTTCTTCAACAGCTGACTAATGGGAAGTTTTCACAGTGTTACTATTGGCAGTCACAGGCTGATCCAACATAACATTACAATTCAACACTGCTGATCAGAGACCTGGGGAAGCAGGAGTTCAGCATTGAGCTTTCTCTCACCTCCATCTCTTGCGTTGTAGTCCAGTTAAAATTTTGCCAGCATGAATCTTGGCCAGCTATTTATGTGCTCCTAATTATTTTTCTCCCCTGAGCTTCTAGTTGCTGAATGAGAACAACTTTTCCTATTTAGCAAGGGAGTGCCAGTCTGGTGGTTAGAGGGGGAGCCTGCAAGTCGGGTCTCCTGGGTTCTTTTCCCATCTTGGCTGCTGCCGCTCCCCTGCCCTACCTCTTAGCTTAGGCAAGCCACTGTATGCCTGCTTGGCATCCGTTCACTTGCTATGAAATCAGCCTGTTCATCTCACAGTGGTGTTTTAAGGCTCAGGGCCCAAGCTTCCTCTTGCCCCCTCACTTCTGTGGAGTGCATTAAAGGGCAGACTTGTGGTTCTTTATTGATTGCATGCCCCGTTTGAAAATTGGAGCTGATTCATTAATGTACAGAAAGGCAGTGACACTGACCAGTGTTGTAACTCTCCCAGATAGAGGAAGCAGCTAAGTAAAGACCTGATCCTTCATGCTTTCTTACTTAGCATGTCTCTTCCTGTGGTCAAGTAATGTTTTAGAAAGTCAACGCAGGGCATGGTCAGATTAGACTGGTTCTAGAGGTAAAAGAGTGCCTACCATCTGAATTTGATTTTGTCTAATTCTAATTTGTGTTCCAAGGTTTTAGGCCCTTAGAAGTGAAATGATTTTGATTCTCACCATACCTGAACCCTTTTTTCTCTTTTTCCCAGATCTCCTGGGATTGAAGCCAGCTCCTAATAATGGGACCCATGGAAGTTTGAATCATCTCCTGCGTACTAATACCTATAGACCAACCATGCCAGAGGAGGTTACTCGGCCCAGTTTCCCAGGGGTTACGTATCTTCAGTCTGATTTTGACCTGGGATGCAGCTGTGATGACAAGGTAGACCCACAAATAGGATCATCAGTACATTTATTGTGGAGCAGCTTATTGGATGAAGAGCAGTGCTATTGAATAGAGCTTTCTTTAGTAATGGAAAGGGTAGCCACTAGACATATGTGGCTTTTGAATACTTTGCAAAGTACTTAATGTGACTGAGGACCTGAGTTTTATTTAATTTGATTACTTTAAACTGCAAATGGAAAGAGTAACATGTGGCTCATGGTCACCATATCAGATGGCACAAGTAGAGAGAATGAAGGGCAAATGGTAGAATTTACGATACTAATTAGAATTCCCAAAGACTGTTTATTCCTTTTTTTCCACCATGGATCACTTTTATATTAATTAGGTCCCCTACAAGAAACAGATGGTCCATGCAGACGAGACAATTAAGAAGAGTTTAAAGAGATGGTTTCCATCCTGTTGAATGAGGGACTTTGTTACAAAGGTTGGACAGGGTGGAGGAAAGCCAAGGAGGAATGGTCACCCCGGGACTTGAAGTCTATCGCTCTTGGCCTGAGGGTGAGGGAAATGAGCAGTTAATAGAACACGGAGAGAGTTGTTTGGAAATGAACTGTGGTGTTTGGTAGAAGGGCGCAGTTACTGTTGTTAGGAGCTGTCAAGTTGGTTCTGATTCACAGCCATCAAGGAATATCACAGTGGAAATTGGAAAAGGCAGTGGAATGGATTCTCTCCTAGAGCCTCTGGAGACAATGCAGCCTTGTCAACACCTTGATTTTCTCTGTTGTTATTAATTGCCATTGAGTCAGCTCTGACTCATAATGCCCCTATGTAGTACAAAACACTGCCCATTCCTCAAAATTGTTATGTTTAGTCCATTATTGCAGCCACTGTGTTGATCCATCTCGCTAGGGGTTGTCTTCTTTTTTGCTGACCGTCTACTTTGCCAGTGGAGTCCTGGTGTGGCACTGTAGGATAAGCACTAGACTGCTAACTGCAAGTTTGCAGTTCATACTCACCAGCTGCTCCTTGGAAACCTCATACAGGGTCTCTTATGAGTCAGAAGTGACTCCACAGCACTTAACACCAACTCCTTTACCAAGCATAATGTCTTTCTTCTAGGATTGGCCCCTTCTAATAACATGCCCAGAGTGTGTGAGACAAAATAACCATCCTTGATTCCTGGAAGCAGTCTGGGTGTGCTTCTTCCGAGACAGACTTGTTCTCTAGTAGGCCAATAGCACATTCCGTCTTTGCCGCTAGCACCATAATTAAAAGGTATCCGTTCTTGTCTGGCCTTCCTTGTTCACTGTCCAGCTTTCACATGCATAGGAATCCATTGGAAATGCCATGACTTGGGTCAGGTGCACCTTAGTCTCCAAAGTGACATCTTTGACTTTAACAGTGTTAAGAGATCTTTTGCAGCAGATTTGTCCAATGCAATATGTAGGTTAATTTATTTTCATTGCTACTTCCATAAGCATTGATTGTAGATCCAAGTAAAATGAAATCCTTGACAATTTCAATCTTATCTCCATAGATCATGATATTGTGTAGTCGATGCTGAAGACTGCGCGGTCTTGGAAAGCGTTAATTTTTTCTTCAGTTCTTTCAACTTGAGAAATGTTGAACATGTTCTTCCTTTTTGGTTCTGTAACTCAGCGACTTTGTGCATTTCATTATAATATTTTGTCTTCTCCAGAGACCTGTTGAAATCCTGTATTCATTTCTTTAATGTCATCATTTATTTCATTGTTTTAGCTACTCTACGTTCCCAATCAAGTTTCCGCGTGTTTTCTGGCATCCATTTTGGTCTTTTCTTTCTTTCTTCTGTTTTTATGGTCCTTCTGTGGCTTTCCCGTTGATGTTCTACATGTCATCTCACAACTTGTCTGGTTTTTAGTCACTAGTGTTCAATGTGCCAGATCTATTCTTAAGATGGACTGTAAATTCAGGTATTATATATACTTAAGGTTATAGTTTGGCTTTGGTGGACTAATTTTAATTTTCTTCAGCTTCAGCTAGAACTTGCATATTAGCAGTTGATAGTTTCACATTTGATCTGTCATCTAAATCTTACTGATTGACAGCAATATGAATCTTGAATCAATATAAAAATCACTAAGTAAACTATTGCTTAACATTAGGAATTTGTTTGGTACTCAAAAACTATAAAAACACAATGTACTGGGGAATTTCTGTTACCTCCCTCTCCCACCCTCACCCCTCCCATCTCCACACTTCACCACCCCACCCCACTCCTGCCCCCAGCCTCTTGAGATCCTCTTTGAACCCTTTCCACTCTGTTCTGTGCGGGAGAGGCTGTGTTAAAGAGTAAGCTTGCCCTCTGGCTATCCCTAGGGGTTTCACCAGTGATAAGTACCAGCAAGAGATTGTAGGAGACAGTTTGTTGTATTGTGTGTGCAGTGATGTTGATTTGATGTACTTCCAGAAGCAAGGAACCCTGATATCTTTGCCTCTGTGGTTTTATTATGGGTAAATGTGTGGTTATTTTCTATTAGGTTTGTGAAAAATTTGAAAATATTTCTCCATCCCACCCCCACCTCTACCATGTGTTTCCTTCCAGGATTCTTAGGGCTTTAGGAGCTACTGTTTGGGATACTCACAACTGAAGGAATTCAGTTTGTTTTTTTGAATTCCTCTTACTCCTTCACATTTTTCCTCCTGACAATAACTGGGGAAGCTAATTCGTATAAGGCAGGTAATTTGGCAATTTCAACTAGCCCTCAGTTGCTACCGTCACCAGAAAGTACTCTTTTGAAAAGGATCCCAAATATAATTTTAGAGGAACCTCTGAGTTGTATCTTCTTTTCTGAATTATCTTTCTTTTGGAGAACAAGGCATTTTCTTTTGGATATTTTATTCTAAATCATTTTAGTGAAATTCTGGGGTTTTATTACTTTTTTCCTATGGGTTTCTCCAAAAGACAAATGTCCTATTCTTTAACAACAACAAAGTATACACACACACACACATGTTTTTGGATTGTTTTGTTAAGTAACTTTGAGTTGGTTTCGACTCATTGAGACCCAGTATAGAGTTTCTGAGGGGCAGCTGGTGAGTTTGAACCGCTGATCTGGAAGTGAGCAGTACCACAAGATCTCTGGTTTTAGTCTACCAGTTGATCCTAGTGAGAAAGACTAGGCTTTCTGCTCCCATGAAGATTTAAAGCCTCAGAAACCCTGTACAGGGTTGTTCTGAGTCCTTACTGACTTGCTGGCACTTAACAACATGTATATGTCTAATCGGTTCTGACTTATATCAACCCTGTAAAGGGGTTTCCAAGGAGCAGCTGGTGAGTTTGAACCACCGATCGTGTGGTTCAAACTGATCTTGCAGTCCAGTGCATTATCCTGCAGGACCACACCAGGACTCTCTATATACACAGTATGTTGGTGAATACCATCTAATATGTTCTGACTTACAGCGATCCTGTATAGGGTTTCCAAGGAGTGACTGGTGGGGTTGACCTGCCAACTTTGCAGTTACCAGTCCTACTGTACCACACTACAACTCATAAAGTATGTTGTTGTGATTAAGTGTTGTCAAGTCAGTTTTGACTCATAGAGACCCTATACAGTGTTTCCTAGGAGCAGCTGGTGGGTTTGAACCCTGAGCCTATGGTTATCAGTCCAGTGCTTATCCTATAGTGCCACACCAGGAGTCACCTTCATGCACATATCACAGGGAAAAAAACCAAAAAAAAAACTTTACAAATTTAGTTGAAGCTCCCTCATTCCATTCCACTTCTTGCCCCAGACATAACTTGCCATTGTTGTTAGGTGCCATTGAGTTAGCTCCAGTTCATATCAACTGTGCACAACACAACTAAACACTGCCTCATCCTGCACCAGCCTCACAATTGGTACTACCCCTGAGCCCATTGATAATGCCACTGTGCCAATCCATTTTGATGGGTATCTTGCTCTTTTCCATTGTTCCTATGCTTTCCCAAGCATGAAGTCTTTCTTCAGGAACTGGTTCCTCCCGATAACATGTCTGAAGCATGAGAAATGAAGTCTCACCGTCCTGGCTTTTAAGGAGCATTGTGAGTGTGCGTCTTCCAACACAGATTTGTTTGCTCTTCGGGCAGTCCGTGGTACTTTTAATATTCTTTTCCAACACCATAACTCAACTGCATACATTCCTCTATAGTCTTCTTTATTTATTGTCCATCTTTCACAAACATAATGAGACTATTGAAAATACCATGGCCTGCGTCAGGAACACCTTAGTCCTCAAACTTGTATCTTTGATCTTGAACACTTTAAAGAAGTCTCCTGCAGCAGATTTGCATAAATGCAATAAATCGTTTGATTAAAAAGACTGCTGCTTAAATGAGTGCTGATTGTGGATCCAAGTAAAATGAAATCTTGGACAACTTCAATCTGTTCTCCATTTATCATGATATTATTTGTTGGTTCAGTTGTGAGAGGGTTTTTGTTTTCTTTACATTGAGATGCAATCGATATTGAAAGCTGTTGTCTTTATCTTCATCAGTATCTTAAGTCCTCTTTGCTTCCAGCAAGCAAGGTTGTATCAGCTGAATATCGCAGGTTGTTGATGAATCTTCCTCCAATCCTGATGCCAGGTTCCTCTTCATATAATTCAGCTTTTCACATTATTTGCTCAGCATACAGATTAAATAAATATGGTGAAGGAATGCAACCTGAAACACACTCTTCTTGATTTTAAAACATTCAGTATCCACTTGTTTTGTTTGAACACCTGCATCTTGGCCTGTGTACAGGTGCCTGATGAGCACAATGTTCTGAAATAGTCATTCTTCACAATGTTGTCCATAGCTTGTCATGTTCCACATACTCCAAAGCCTTTGCATAGTCAGTAAAGCACAGGTAAACATCTTTCTGTTATTCTCTAATTTCAGCCAAAATCCATCTGAAGTCAGCAATGATATCCCTAGTTCTGTGTCCTCTTTCAAATCTGGATTGAATTTCTGAAAGTTCCCTGTTGATGTGCTATTACAGCCATTTTTGAATTATCTTCAGCAAAATTTTACTAGCATGTGCTATTGATAATATTGTTTGATAATTTCTACATTCTGTTGGGTCTCTTTCAACTGATTGAACAGTTAGCTGTCTTCCAGATCTCTTGGCATGAGTGAGATGAGTGAGTGTCTCCAGTGCTTCATCAGTTTGTTGAAAGATTAAAATTTGTACTCCATTAATTGCTGGAGTCTTGTTTTTCACGCCATTGCCTTCACTGCAGCTTGACCTTTTTCCTTAAGTACCATTTGTTCTTGATATGGTTGTATGTGGACCATTTCTTTTGGGTACAGTGACGCTCTGTGTATCTTCCATCTTTCTTTTAATGCTTTCTGTGTCATTTAATATTTCATCCATAGAATCCTTCAATATTGCAATTCAAGTTATTCAGTTCTTTTAGGTTGAGAAATGCTGCACATGTCCTTCCCTTTTGGTTTTCTATCTTCAGGTCTTTACACATATCTTTATAATACTTGGACTTTTCTCGAACTGCCCTTTGAAATTTTCTGTTCAGTTCTTTGACTGCCTTGCTTCTTCCATTCATGTTAGTATTTCTACACTGGACAGCAAGTTTCAGAGTCTTTTTTGATATCCATTTTGGTCTTCTTTCTTTCCTTTTATTTTATTTTATTTTTTTAAATGAACTGTTGCTTCCTTCTTGTATGATGTTCTTATGTCATCTCACAACTCTTCTAGTCTTCAGTCATTAGTGTCTAATGCATGAATTTTTCCTTGAGATGATCTCTCAATTCAAGTGGGATATGCTCAAGGTCACATTTTAGTTCTCATGGCCTTGTCTCAATTTTTTTCCAGCTTTAGCCTGAACTTGCATATGAGCAATTGATGGTCTGTTCCACAGACAGCCTCTGACCTTGTTTTTTCTGATGATAGTGAACTTTTCCACCATCTCTTCCCACAGATGTAGCCAATTTGATTCCTGTGTATTCCTTCTAGTGAATGTATATAGTTGCCTTTTTCTGTTTAAAAACTGTATTTGCAATGAATATGTCATTGGTCTTGCAAAATTCTATCATGCAGTCTCTAGCATCATTTCTATCACCAAAGCTCTGTTTTCCAATTACTGATCCTGTTCTTTGTTTCCAGCCTTTGCATTCCAGTCATCACTAATTATTAATACATCTTGATTGCTTGTTTAATCAATTTCAGACTGAAGAAGTTGGTAGAATTTTAAAATTTCGTC